TTCTAGAATACATATAGATGATCTATCGTAGTATAAATAGAAAAGATAAAAAAAAATTTTTGTTCCATTCTATGTTTCCATTTTTTTCCCACTCTTTTATTTGTTAAATCTCACAACTCTAGTATTTTGTAAAGGAACATAGAATAAACTCTCACATTCATTAGTAATAATGGATACGTCAGAAATTATACCTATTGTCCTTTTTTGTTCCCTCCCATTTCTTTCCAACTATGGAAGTAAAGCTATTTTAAGTTTGGAAGCAATTTGGCCTTCTTCCTCGATTTAACTCGCAAAGGAGAGATAAATGATTACTGAATCTTTTCTCTTGCCCCCTATTCTCACTTCCCAAGCAAGGTGTCAAAAGTGACCATAATCAAAAATCAAATTCCAAATTCACACGTTGTGGTGAATGGCATCTGGTTGGGGATTATTAAATGGCATAACCTAATTCCAGTACCAAATTTATGAAAATAAAGTAAAACAAGCCCATTACTTGAATTTTGCAAACAAAAAATTTTTTTTTAATGAGGGTAAAAGGAAAGCAAGAAATTGATGTAAATTGAGACGGGCCAAGTCCCAAATGGATCCAATACCATATATATACACGCACACAAATATTGTCTCAAAAGTGGACTTCAAGCCCACTTTGACAAGGCCTACCAAAAAATAACTGATAAAAGTCAACAACTTTAATTCCAGCAAAGAAAAGCAAATCTAGATTCTAGCCTACGAAGTAACTTTAGAAAAAGAAGCAGCCGTAGTACTACTGCTTTACACTAACTCAGTCCTCACACACACGAGCGTAGCCACAGACCCAGGGCAGCAGCGGCCAGAAACGGGAAAAGGAAAAGAGGGAAACAAAATTAAAAGAAGAAGAAAAAAAAAGGAGGAAAGAGAAGATGAAACTACTGGGATGGTGGTTAATGTTAGTGGGTTCACTTCGGTTGGCATCGGTATGGTTCGGATTCGTGGATATTTGGGCTCTACGCCTCGCCGTTTTCTCTCAGACAACCAGTTAAGCAAATAGCATAGCGCCACTCTTGTTCTTTACTTACTTTGTCATTTACACATTTCACAAGAGATCCCACTTGTGATTCCCATTTATTGGGATCGTGCAAACTGTAGTGTACATTTTGGTCAGCATGATTTCGTGAATCATATAATACTAGTGCTTGAATTTACGTACAAATTCAGCTCCTTCTTGGGATTGTGATGTGATTTCGTTTTGGGAAATTAAAGAACCCGTGACAGTAGTATATTTTTCCTTGAGATCCCAAAACAGTCAAATCCCTTCAGTTACGCCTTGTGTAGGGAGTGAATGTTTCCTCCGTGCTAAAAGCTTCTTGATTCTGTACTGGGATTTCTTTTCCTTCATTTGCTTTTGCTGATTTACCGGGATTTTGTTTCCCCTCGTAATGGAATAGGACTACTACTTGCTGGAAGAATTATGTTGTATCAGCGGCTTTCATTCAAAGGATTGATCTTCACTGGAAAATTATATTTTGAACGTTTTTCTGGGCTTCACTAATTTCCCTATGCAGTGAAATTGTGTGAACCAAATTGGTTTTTGTGCGTCTATTTCTTAGTTCATGATCCGTCTTAGTCTAATCCTAGAGGGACAAATGATTGATTTACTTTAAGATAGTGGATGAATGGATGGTATTGTGACGATTGGTTTTAACCATAAGATGTCTGATGTTGACGAAATTAAAATGCTAGAGAGTTTTTGTAATACTTAAAAAAGGGCTATTGAGATAGAGCATGGAGTGGTGCCAGAAACTTAATTGAGTCATGGACGATGGACTTAATTATTTGATTTGAAAGAATGCCAATGCTTTTGTTCAATGTCACGTAGTCTAAGAAGAATACAATCACTTCCTTGAGTACAACAATTCAGTTTTGGTAGGACAACAGAATTTGAGCTCTGACTGCAACATTTGGCAACTTTGTATGGGTTTCAATATGGAATGCAGGTCTGAACAAAGAAAAAGGCTTTTTGTAAATGGTCTGCTGTCACTGTAAACTTATATGCTTAAGCATTAGGTTAGCAGTCTACTAGAAATTCTCTAGGAGATGGACCTGTTAACCAGCAAATTGAAATGTTTTTATATTCACATGCTTTTCTTGATGTGATTGGTAATATGCTATATTTCGAAAGATTTATATGAAAATGTGTACTTTTGTGAGTGGTTTGAAGTTAGAGCATCTTCCTAATTAAAATGTAAAATGTCTTGTATTCTTCTGTAGTGACTGAAGTTCATGGAAGGACATTTGGGATTTGGACACTATTGACTTGCACCCTGTGCATTCTTTGTGCATTTAACCTTGACAATAAGCCTTTGTATTTGGCAACATTCTTATCCTTCATCTATGCCTTTGGTCATTTCTTGACCGAGTACCTGATATATCATACCATGGCCATTGGGAACCTTACAACTGTTGGCATCTTTGCAGGTACTTCTGGCTATACAATGCTCGTCTGAAATATCATCAATTTCTGCTTGATCTTCTATGCAATTGCTATTTTGCTTGAAATATTCTGCAATCTTGGTATTTTTGCTTCTTCAATAACTTTAAATCGTGTAAATTTTTTTTTTGAATCTTTTTAGTTTCCCCTAGGAGGCCATAATTTTGAAGTTTGAGAAGATTGAAATAGGTTATTTTCGGGATTCTATAACTTCTTCTGAATGTTTATACTCCATTATCTGTGAACAATGGTAACCAGAGAAATTATTGAATGAAATTACTTGAGGTCCTTCGCTCCATTTTCACCATCTCGATAAAAATTTGCCTTTTGTTTGACATGTTGAGATTTAAGTCGGATTCCGCTTCATTAATCCTCTATTCCACAGAAGAAGATTTGAAGAATGTTCTGCCTGTCCTATCCCTCAAAGGAATGAGCAACAGATTCATTTCTCATTATACCGCTAACTATTTGTTCAAAATACCATATTTTGTCACCACTACATTTTGTTTTCAATGTATTTTGTATGTGACCTGAAACTGAGCAGAATGGAACAAGAAATTAAGCTTGTGTCTGCCTTGGATGTGGAATAGCGCTTCCCATAATTGTAACTGAATGTTGTGTATCCTCATTCTTGTTTCGGAAACTCATATAAAACATCTTTGCTTGCCTATTTAATTCTGCTGGTCTGACAAGTATTGGTAGGATGAGCTGGCTGCTGCTGCTCAAGTGACTTATTTCTGCTGTTCCAGCATGAATGACGATTTCTATAAAAAAGGAAAATGATGTAACAAGAAATGATAATGCCAAGCATAGGCCTAATAGAGATTCAGATTCTTTCTGAGGCTATTTGAAACACATTTTCTGTGAGCATTATGTGATAACTTCTTCGTGCAGGATGGTTTCATTTCTTGAAATAGTTACAGTTGATCATTTTTCCAATCAGCATGCTAGTATTTCAATTGCTTGTCAAGTTGATTCACCTGATGTACTTGTAGCGCTAGTTTTCTCAAACTGAAGTTGTTCTGTTATTACAGGCACATCCATAATATGGATGCTATTGCAATGGAATGCACATCAGCCGGTGAAGACTAAGAATAAGTAGGGCTGTAAAGCATCAGAAGCTATTATTCTGCACATGAAGCAGATGAGTTCAAGTTAGTTGCTCTGTGCTTTATCTTAGTTGCTGAAGGAAATTCGTCATGGCTATGGCTGGGTAAACTAGCTTTGATGGTTCAGCTCTCAAAGAACCTTTGATATTGGGTGTTTCTTGGCATTAAGCTTTCAATCTCATCATCTTTTTGCACCCCTTCTTTGGATAACCTTGTTGGCGTTAATTATTCTTTCTGTACTTTTTTTTCTGATATCTTGCTACAATTGGGGGCCCTATTGTTCTTTAGTCAAACATTGATGGGCGTTAATCAAGTAGGGAATCATGATTTGTGTTGGTGGTAGTTGATGAATTTGCAGCTTATGAACTCTGTAGATCTCCAATGCCTTCATCATGATTTCATGTCACAAGTCTACCATCAAGTCTGGATCAGATTCTTGGGCTTGGGCTTGTGCCGAAGTGTATTATTTTGAAGCCCAAGGACACTCCCGGCAGCAGGGTAATAAATATGTTTAAGGGGATAAACTAATCAAAGATCATGATTTTATGCTGCATGAATGTATGGAATATAACCAGGACAGGACGTTGCAATCCTTTTAGACTAATATAAAAGGATTATAATGATGATCCACTTTAAATTAGCAAGCAATCCTATCTAGAGATGTTTCATTTCTTAAACTGTACATTCAGCCGCTCAAAATTGTTGACAAAGTTAAAAACGTCAAATCTGCTCTTGGGCGTGAAATCAGGAAAATGTCGTCGTTCCATGGATTACCTTTTCATGCATTATTGATGGCGTAGTGAATATATATATTTTTTATACTAACAAGTTTGGATACATATCACGTGTATAATTTGAATTTATGTTACGTGATATAATCTAAATTTGTTTGTGTAATATATATACACACACTAACGATGTATAAAAAAGTTATCCTAATTTGATTGATACCAAAAATCTACAAAAGTTTGATATCGAAAATCCATGGAAATTTTCTTGTCTTGTGTGGAGGTGTGTATGCTCGTGCAGTTGAGTCTAATTTTACACATTACAGAACCGTCCATTGAGCACAAATTAAAATTTGTAAAACCCCCCAGCTTTATAACTCTTTGTTGAAAATTTTCATGCCACTCGTTTTTGGGCAGCCTTCTGTATCGGAGGCCATTTTGGTTTTAGTTTTTTTTTTTTTTTTTAATCTTTATTGTGATTATCACTATTTTTACTAAAAGGAGGAGAAGAAGAAGAAGAAGAAGGTAGTTGTCCCTGGTAATGGTATATCACATTCTATATATTCAAAAGTGATCTGCCATCTTCTTTTCTCCTGATCCACAAATTCTTTTTTATATTTTCTGTGGTTTATCCGGTAGGATGAGCCACCTGAAATCAAGACACTTTCTGTCGAGATGACAAATAAGCAAACACAATTTGAAGTCTAAAGAAGACAATTTCATGTCGTTTCAAGGACACAAGGACGCTTTATGTTGGTAACTTGGAATATGAAGTTGAGCTCTGCTACTTTATTCTTCTCTGAGAACCTCAATTCTAATATTTACTATCTCAAGCCGCCTTCTCTACATTATACAACACCAATGCACTTTTAATAACAAGAAGGTAATCCTAAATATTCAGTAGTGATCCAACTGTAAGATTCCCAAACACCACAGCTCAAAGCCACAAGAGGGTTCAAGAAGTATCTACGCTGAATCTTACCTCCATTTAGGTGCAGGGCTCTGGAGTCTGGAGTATTATGATATCTTCTCGTGGAAAGTTCTAAAAGAGATGGTATTATAACACGGTGGACTGGTTGGCAATTGCAAGTTGAAAGAGAGGACAGCGTATCTTCTGGTGCAGTCAGATCTTTTCCCATTCCCACTTGTGTTTTATGATGTATCCCTCCTGTTTCTGCTGATATATTAACTGATGAACAGCTGTAAGGATAAATGGATTCTGGATTCCTTCCATTGGCATGTTGTTTGTCAGCAAGTGCAACTTTCACATAGCTCTTTATTCCAAACTTTATATCAGAGCCCGGATCTTGTTGTTGCAATATTTTTCCAGCTAATTATTGATTCTTCCAAATTTTTTTCGTACCTAACTTCTTCCTCTACTAAAGCTACTGTTTCTTTTTTTGATGTTGAACCTCAAAAGATACCTGCATTTGGAACCATTTGATGTTTCTGCTTTATTCTCTAATCAAGCTTTCAAGCATAATCACTTCATTCCAAGATATATAGGTATACTATAATTCCGTTTACATGCAACCTTTTAGTCACTTCCAAGACTAGCCTATTCCTCCTTGTCATCTTCATCAATCAAATCCTCTAATTGCTCATGCTCTCCTTCTTCAATCTTCTCCTGGCTGGTAACACCCATGTCACCGTTTCCACCTGCAATCTCATCTTCCTCATTCCCCTGGAGCTTGTTTTCTTCATCCTCAAATTCGAGCTCATCATCCTGATTTCTCCGAAACTCTGCAGCTAGTTCGTCTAGTCTAGGATTAAGATTCTTCCTCCCCATCTTCAATAATGGATACCCTATTTTCCCTTCTTCAGCTGCAACTTCGGCGCTCTCCACCAAAGCTACCTTCCTGGTATTGAATTGCTTGGCTTGATAAAGCAACCAAATGCATATGGCAAGCAGTAAACATATCTGAAGAGCTAGCTTCAATTTGGACCCTTTCACTCTTTGGTTTCTACTAGATGATTGCTTCAACATTATCAACTTAATACTTCCACCTTAACCTAGAACATTTGATTTGCCGGAGTTTCCCCTGTATCACCACCCAAATATACTACATCCAGTTAGTGGAAATGTGTCAAGAAAACATATAGACTATAATCAGAAACTGGCATACAATTATTATTATTATTATTATTTTTTTGACGATATCTAAGTAGTACGGAATTCATAAAAGTATTGTAAAACATCAAAGAAACTCCCCCGCCCCCCTTTTTCTTTGGGTACAAGCACATTCTTCTCAACTAATTGATGCACATCACAAGCAGGGAAGAGGTTGGAGAAAAATTTGTCAATTGCAATGTAAACCTTAGCTGGAAACTTAATTTGACATAGATAGCCACCAACCAGACCTCAGTCAAATTCAGTGCTTGCTGCAGAATCCGGGGGGTGGTTAAATACCAATCACAACAACTAACTATCGATTCATGCATTTATGCAGTAATGCTACCAGAGAAACAAGGTCCATTGAAATCCTCTTCAAAACAAAAATGAATGCAACTGGCAAGGAACAAAAAAGCACACAACTTACACAAACTTCATTGGAGAGATAGAGAAACTAATTGACCAGATCAACAAAGATTTACATTCCTAGCCAGGCAACAATCTTATAAAGTTCTTGATAAGCAGATTCCGGAGATGCCGCCCTACCTCAAGAAGGATTGCTTCAAAGAACTCCAACCATCCCAAAAAAACAGCAACTAGCCACTAAGGGTTCCATATATAACAAAGCAAGATTACGATAAACTACTGTAAACCAAATAAACTGCTACGAAAGAACATACCAGTAAAGCAACTAGGCTGTTGCACTTGCAGGCGAGTGAGAATGCGTGTGGAAAATAATACTACTAATGATACTTTTAATTAAGTTGCAGTCACATGTGTTGGATTCAGAATATCATGAATTTATGAGATATTTTGGTAAGGAGTTAATAAGGTGATGGAGGACGGATGTGTCGGTGACGTTTTTATTGCTATCATTATTTATGGTGGCCAAGGTAAAAAACAAATATACTAACCACCTAGTTTTGGTCATTCAATGACCACCAAAAAAGGTATTTACGCTTTAGGTGAAACGTTATAACCCCATCTATCCATCCAGATACTTACTAATTCCCATTCAAAAAACTCTATGATTTAGAGGCAGATGTATATACCTGTTAGTCTTTTTTTTTTTTTTTTTTTTTATAAAAAAATATAGATTAAATTATAAAAATATTATCATTACGAAAAAAAAAAAATCTTTCAGATTTGATCGAATTTGTATACATGCTAGCTTCTCTCTATAGAATAAGAGATAAGAGTCCGGCTTGGACGAGGGGCCTGGACGGTTGTCAGAAACAACCGTCCCAGGCCGTGACAACCGTCTCAGGCAGTTCACGGCCTGGATGAGACCTCAAAAATTTGTGCGGTCCAAATCACGTCTTGTAACTTGATTTTCACGTTGTGTGGAACCCACAAAAATGTTGTTCTAGTATTATTCATTGTTATTCTATTGTTACACTTTGTACAGATGATGTTATATCATGTATAAATGATGTTACACCCTTCGGAGCGATTGTTCTCCAGCCCTGCGTCCGCCTTGTTATGGTTCCGACACAAAAAAGGTACAATACAAGTTTGCTAGCAGTAGCAGGAAGACAAAACCAATGCAGCTCAGCTTTATCCATCCGTGTCGATCATAGAGCACCTACAGTAATCAACGATAGAGAAAGCTCTCAATAAATGTACGTGGAAAAATGGCTTCTTTCCATTTGGCCATTAGCGCATCTTGTAACAAACCGCCCAACAAAATGCTTAAGCCGTGGGGTTTATGATTAGGCATTGGGAATCGTAGGATTCTGCTTTACCGACTCACCACCAGTTGCACACACACACACACACTTATAGTATAGTTTAGCAAATTAAATTAGGCTGTCTTTTGCTATCCAGCCCCAAGTGTTGTACTAGTACCAATATTTTGTTGTCGAGTTCATTTCAGTTATTGTCCCGAGCAATGCGTAGCGACCAAGGTGAGTGACTAGTGACCATATTTTTTTGGTTTAGTGAGTGCTTGGATGGGATGGATTGGTTTGATATAATTTGTTGAACCATAAACATGCCTTACATTTACTTGAATTTAATGTAATTCGTAGTATGAGACTTTGAGGTGCCTTTTTTTTTTAATATATATATATATGATTTTTTTTTACCTTCCATCCTCTCTCTGGCGTCTTTCTTACCTCTAATTCGAATCCTAAATCTGATAGTGAGAAGAATTTTAAAAACCCTCTTCTTATCGTTAAACCAATTCCACTAGATCAACCTCGGTGGCTCTGAGAGACTTTGAGATGTCATTCATTGTAAAGGTGTATAAGTAGTATGGCTTTCTATGATTTTTTTTTCTCTTTTGGATATTTGGAGACCTTTTTTTTTTTAAAAAAAAAATCACTTCTCTAGAATCTTGTGGCAAAATGGTTGGTGAGGCGAATTGAGGGATTTATGAAGGATTTTATATCCTTCCAAATATGTTTATACATAGTGTTTGGATTACTTAGGAGATATTTTCAAGATCTTTCTTACCTCGGTGGCTCTATTCTTTCAACGAGATATTTTCAATTCAAAGTTAGCAATTTTATGTGCTTTAGAAGAAGGATGGTATCATGGTGCAAATGAAAATTTATTTTAAGACAAAGAAAGATCTCTTAGCCATTGCACTTTGGCTTTTTGCAATTTTTTTTTTTTTTGGGATTGGTTTGCCTTTCAAGTACATCTTCTTCTTCTTCTTCTTCTTCTCTCTCTCTCTCTCTGTACATTTTTTTCAAGTACGTAGTCACCCAAAGTGCAAATTGAATCAGGCTGGAACTATCCATAACGGAGTCCAAATCGGAGCAACCCACTTTTGAATCCTGGGCTGACTAATGTTGCCCAATGAGTTGAAATTTGGGCCCATCTTTCCTTAACCATCTATTGTTCTCTTTCAGTCCAATCCAATTCAATATTTATATTTCTTCAAACCTGTGTCACGACCCTTTCACAAATTTTTCTTTTTTTTTTTTAAGTTTCACTGCCTCGCTTTTGAGAAGGATAACTGGAAAATTAGCAACTTCTATAGTGATAATGGGGTCGATTGTCTACTTTTTTTATCTTCCCATATTCTCTCCTCAGTCATGAATCATTTATATGAGAAGAACTGTACAGGCGCAGCTGTGAGCTTCCCTGACGGGGGCCCAAGAAGTTGGTAGCTGGATCAGGATTCAACTAAAACCGGGCATTCATGAGTTGATTCGATCAAACCTTGAATTGAATTTGGTCAATATCGAACTCAAGTTAAGTTCGAGCGGATCAAGTCGAGTTAGAACTTGAAGTTAAACAAAGAAAAATTCAATTCATTAACTCACGAGCCACTTGATTATATATATATATATATATATATATATTTTTTAATTTTAATAGTAAAGTTACATATATATTTATAATATTTTATTATTCATTAAGGAAAAATTACTATTTTATTCTTTTTTAAAAAATAATTTTTTATTTTTTTAAGCTCAAATATGCTCAAATTCAAACTCGACTTAACTCAAATTTGAAGTCGAATTCAAACTCAAACTTTATATTAAGTGTTCATTGATAATAGCTAAATTATCGAAATCACCATTAGTTTTAGTGCCAAACCTTAGTTAGGATCAAACTATCCTTAGAATTTATCGAGTCGATCTTGAGTATGAATATGGTCACAAAGTACAAAAGCAATTACATAGGTAACGATAATTAGTAACATTGATGCGTCAAAAATTGTATTAGGTGCCTAAATTCCCCCACTAATTAGGATCAATAGGATATAATACTTTATAGTACTGTTTTAGAAATACTACGAGTGTAACTAACTTTACTATCCTTTCATATACAAGGGTTGGATTATGCAGTAAGTAAGATGGAAGGAATTGTAACTAAGAGATATTATATTTAAATTCTCTCACTTACCTAACATATATATACATATAGCAATTGCGGAACTAGCTAAATGTTGTCCCTCCTATTCTTTTTTTTTTTTTTTTTGTATAAGTTGCAGGTGTCCATCTATTTTACTTTCAGTTTGCGACTAATTTTGTTCGAATCAAATATTTTGTTCGAATCAAATTAAACCCCTTATATAGGAGAAGTTCTCCCATTATTCTTTTCATTGTAATAGGTTTCGAACCAAGACATTGTCGAGGACGTAAATTCCTTCCACTTGCGCCAACATCCATTGGGGTGTCCCTTCTATCCACAAGCCAAACTGTGAAATTCACTCTTATAGTAATCATGTAGGGTGTCAAGAAAAACTGTAGTGATAGGAATAATATATCAAAGAAGGAAATGAGGCAGTAGCAGTAAGAGCAGCTAGCATCCAAGCAGACCCATAGATTTATCCATTCGAGGAGGCCTGCAGGAGAGGACTCAGAACTCAGGAGCTCTTTTTCTGAATTCTGATGCAAAAAATATTTATATATGAAAATCTTGTATGATACGAAAACAGGACTGCAAAACTGACATGGTCGATACTCTCACATCTCTATCGCATTAAAAATAGTACCAAATCTCCATTTCAATTCCAATATCCTCACATTCCCCTCCATTCTTGATTGTACTAATCATCTTGATTAAGATGTTAATAATATATATCAAACAAAACTCCCCTTCCCCACCCCCCCCCCCACCACAAAAAAGAAAAAAAGAAATGCCCCTTCCTCAGAGTCCTATGCCTCGTTCTTTTCCTTTTACAGCTCCCAAAAAGTAGTTCCATTTGTACTGGGACAATGGCCCATTTGGCAATTATCCACTATTAATTACTTGGGGAATCATGATCAATTCTCTAATCATTAAGAATAATGATCTTGTCATGATGTTTAACGTTCACTTGAGACAAATATTTGAGAATCATCAACTTTTGATCACGCGTGAATTTGGATGATTCAACACGTGCATGTGGGATTCACAAATTGGTGATCATGCTTGAAGTTCAGGAATATGAATAGAAATTGCAAGGAAAAAGTGCATGTATGGTTGGATAAGGTAGCAATAGTTCTTGCCATTAATATTTAACAGATAAAAAGGAGATTAATGGCTCCTAAAACACTTGCAAAGCTATGTATACTAGTACTCCTGACTGTCTGGAGTTTGACAAGAATGTAACAACAAAGTGCATTTATGGTTGGATATGTAGGAAATAGATCTTGACATTAATAATTAAAAGATAAATGGACATTAATGAATCCTAAAACACTTACAAAACTAGATATACAAATTGATATAAGCTTGGGAACAATGCATATTAGAGGCCGGAACTAAATATTTTTGTCCAAGACTACATATATAGACAAGTGAAGAAACTTATTTTCTTCATACAAAAGGCTTGCCTTGTGGGTCCTTTTTTTTTTTTTTTTTGGTCTAATAATTGAAAAATACAATCAAGGATTGAAAATGAAGTTGCCACATTTACACTTCCAACACATAGGCTTATAGTTGGAGATATCATCACCTCTTGAATAAGCTATAGTAGGTGTTGCAAAGAACTGATTGCTCCTTATTTTTTGGTGCTTTAGACTGGGAACAATTGGAACTTGAACTGCTTCACAGTGCCCACAAGACATGCATCTTCTCTCACATCTTGGTGGCCTTGATCCTATCAAAGACCTCACCATGACAACCTTCTCTTCAACTCTCTTCTGCCACCACCATCCACAATTTTCGACAAACACAATAAAATTGTCAGAATTGTTTAAGACCTTAATGATCACAAAAACAAACAACAAATTACTTTCCACTAATTAAGAATCCACTCTGGATTTTTTTGAATGAAAATTGGATATAGTTTTGTTCTCATTTTTAACAGTTTTAAGACGAGGGTTCGATTCTAAACGTTCATTTCACCCTTCTGCAGAACCAGTAAAAGAAGAAAAAGCTCAGTACCTGATTAGCTTCAAGGCTCTGAACCTGCAATTTAGGAGTTGCTCTGCCTATAAAGTGAATGATAGCAGAGACTTCAGTAATAAATTCACTTGAAAATACTAACGTTGAGAGGGTTTTAAAAGAATTGGAGAAATGTTAAAGTAGGAACTTACCTTCAGCAATGATTTTAAAAGGGTTCGATCTTGTAATCAGAAGAAAGAGCACAAAAGTGAGGAGATGTCGATTTCTATAGTGAAAAATGCGGCCACCTCCTGAACCCATTGAGCTAAAAAGGTGAAAAGAGTTGGGGAAAGAGGGAGAGAGCAAGTCGGGAAGTCAGAAAGATGGAATATATATTGAGGTAAAAGAAGAAAGATTGGTCAATCAGAAGTGACTGCATGGCATCGCTGCCACCTGCTCTCCATTACTCTCAAAAGCTTCTATGCAGTTTGCAACTTTGTACACACCAGTTTTCTACAACTAGCAGTCCTTTTCTTGACAAAATAATAATAGAATGTGGAGTGCAAAGTTTTACCAAATGGAAGAAAAATACTTGAGAGACAAAAGTGTTTTGAAAGGGAAAGATCTCGAACCTCTTTAAATGAGCCCGAGACTCAGAAGCTCTGAGACTCTGATCCAGAAGGGGAAAAAGACCCAATTTTTATTACTAGTCTTATGGGACCAGGGGGAGAGGGGCGAAAAAAAAATTTAAAAACTAAAAAAGGGAACTCCAAACAAAATTTAGGATAGAGAGACTGAAGGTGGGAGAGAATTCAGATTTCAGAATGAGATTACTAGTATTTGCCTATTTGGAATGATGTGCAGTGCTGCTGAAAGGAACAAGGGAAGGTAGTTTACCAATTATTTGCACGCAGCGCGCACACAACTAAAGCACTCATAGCCGGTATGTATGATACGTGACGATGGATAAAAGGGATTTGGCAAAAAGGACATTTGATATCAGACATGAGAACCACAAAGAATGTGGCTTTATGGGCTTTCCTTTTCCTTCATTTTCACTCATTTTGCCCCCTTCATTTATGCGTATATCGTAGGATCACTGTTTCGCTTGGCTATTGAGCAGCTCATTTATTATTAAATACTACTACTGCTTGTAGTAGATTTTGATTATTTAGAGGCCAATCAGCCATGCACGGTAAACTTCAATGGCGATCTCTAGCCTCTACTTTATGTATTTAACACGCAAAATTCTCTCGTCTTCTCCCCTCAGAACAGTATATCGAGTTTCCAAGAAAGATTATAGGTTAGGGCAGGTGGATACTACTATAGAGATGAGTCTTAGTAGATTTGATGTAGCTATGCATATAGCTAGCTTTGTGTCTGTGTCTCTGCAAGTAAACTATGATAATGATTCATGAATTTGATGAGAAAATTTTACCTCCGAATCCACGCAAACTCTTTTGTTTACGGGATCGTTATAGTGTAGGGTGATCCGATCTAGTGGTGGCATTGACGCCTATGGTCACATCACAGCCTCAAATCAATTTCTGTCTAGTCTTGTGATGAAAAAAAGGAAATGTGTAGTGGTGATCAAAAGTAGGAATGATGGAAGTCGTAAACAGACACTACTGTAGTATTATCAAATTGATTGACCAATTTTTCTTCTCTTCTTATAATTACCATACCAAGAAGTACTCTGAAACAAATTATTATATTATTGTAAATCTTGGAATTTTGAATATATTTTCCTAATTCTCTTATTTGTGTGAACTTGTATGTAGGAATTAGAAAGAGGAACCGACAAGCCATTTTAATGTGACAAAAAGATGGAACAAGAATTACTTCTTTGATCACTTCACCTCAAATGTCTGCTGTTCTTTTGGCCTAGAAGTGGAAAATATGCTGAAACTTGAGTTGCATAAAGAAATTTGACCTTCTTTTTTTTGTTTCTTTTTTTTTTTAAATACTTATCTGTGTGCTTGAGGGACAATTGATATCCTTTATCATGTATAATTTGAGAAATTCATGAATAAAGAATTGGACTCGTCTGGTTGAAACTGACTTGCAAATGTTGCAAATATGTATAGTATCTATCATTGGCGGCATTGGGTATGTCATAGAAAAAAAAAAATTTTTTGGGGGGGGGCGGTAAGTGTGGCAGGCACAGAATTGTTTTGTACCGATTCTTTTCTTCCTTGATTTTCCTTCTCAGAGAACGCAGAGCAATTATTGCAATTCTCCATAGGAGTAGATGAAAAGGTCATTTTCAAAGTTTGATTTTTGGGCTTTTGTGAAACCACTCGTGCGTCTATGACCCTTTTTTTTTGTTTTTTTTTCCCTCTACTATCTGAAAGGAGTATTTGAAAGCCAGATGCTCCTCAATGTTCCTATTGTATGCAATCTAATAGAGAGAATCATGTGGGGATTGATCATCTATGTTTTGGCACATCAGAGGTAGAAGAAGTGGAGTTCCCATCATCTTTACTGTTTTCCCCAGAGAAAGTTGATTGCAACGGGCCAATGCCTCGGCCAGTTTGCTATGGTGTTTTGCTAGCTGTTTTTTTTTCTCTCTCAATAGTAATGTAGTGATTTCAGATCCTTTGAACTTAAAAAGTACTAACAAATACAGGGCATTGGATTTTGTCAAATTTCAATTAAACTCACTCACAAATTATGCAAAGGTACAATGATGAAAACTAAAAAGGGCTATTTCTACATTTTATTGAGCTGCTAACTACACCATGGTACTGTAAAACGGGCAGTTTCAGTTTGCCCTGCTGCAGATTCATCTTAGTTACTTCTACTACTCGTAGCATCCTTACGCCATCGTGATTCAACCAACTTCTGCAGAATTTAATTATCAAATCACCGAGTTAATAATGGAGATCCGGGGACAGTGGACACCTACCTACCCATAATTCTGTCAGCAGTGCTTCCTGCTGCAGGTACGTACCCTGCAAGGCTTTGTCCACATTGGCAATTTGGACACCAGTAGTAGATAAGGTCCCATCTCCCCACCATAGGCTTTACCCGTTTTCACCTGCTTTGGGGCACAGAGGACTCCATGTGGGAGCTTCACCTATGCTCAACTTTATGCATTTTCATTTTCTTCCTCGTGCCAACTGTGACAACAGTATCTACTCCTATTTAGGTAGGTACATATTGTACAGGGTGGCCAGAAAGAAACAATAATTGTACATGATCCACCTGATTATTTTCTCAAACAATCTAGTGAAAAAGAAAGGGATTTATGTAGTATACACAATCAAAAGAGTAGATTACAGTAGTGGAATACCACCTCAAAGAATTAATGAAGTATGTACATATCGGACCTCTGATTTTTTGTTTGTGTTGCTGGCTCTTCTGGAATAAGACAATAAACAGCAAAAATTTGACTCCTCTAAATCCAGTTCCAAAAGGGTACATGGGTTGATACTGGTGCAAGACAGCAGGATTCTCAAGAATACGGTATATATGATGATATATCTAAGATATGTGCAGTGATAAGAATACAAAATTTCGACTTCTACAGCTGGAAATTGTCAATCATATGCTGTATTACATCGGCACCATCAGAATTCATACAGTGGCTCTGTACCTGGAGAAAAGGTAACCGTAAGTCTTTTAGTTTATTATATGAAGATGAAGAGTAAGACCTTGAATCGGCAAATTCTACAACATAAAGAAACTGTAAACCAGGTCTTGTATAACATCGGCACCATCAGAATTAGTGCGCCAATATATTACCCGCACAAGTAGGAAAACAAGAATAGTTTCTTGAACCACAGAACTTGCAGCGGTGGCAGAAAATAATTATATTAGCTGATTGCACCGTAGCAGCATTCAGCGTCATCCTAGATGGTTAACACCTCTAACATCATCATAAACAAGAAGATAGATGATGCCATTGTCAAGTGTTTTATCAGTAAGGCAGTAAGCATCTAACTACGGACTCAGAGCAATGGAAGAGATTTGTGTAAACTGGAATTCTAGTGCTTGGATGTTCATTTATTTGGCTGTTCAATGGAGAAACTCAAATTGGTAACTTTCACGCGTCTAACGTAAATGAGACAAAAATGACAGAATAAAAGACCTAAGCAAGCAAAAAACACATGATTTGGAAGTTCCTGCAGCGAGCAAAGGCATTATTGACTCGTTATGGAGCTCGGGGTTGAATACATGCCTGAATGGTGGTGTGAGCAAAATATCTCTGTTTACTTCCTTTGAAACTGACGTCAACACGTTCCCAGCTCAATTTTGTTAAACTTCTCAGCATGACCTCTAAGATTTCGAGAATAGAGATTAAATGAATGAATCAAACATCACACGAAATTAAAATGGATGAACAATCAGCGAAAAATATTTAAGCAGATGCAAACAGCTCAATGCTAAGAAAATCGACAAACGAGCATGTCAATAAAATAATTGGCATATAATTCCAGATGTATATATTCTCATGACATCATGCCGTGTTTTGGGTCCTGATGTCACCAAAAGAAGTGGCTGTAGTTGTAAAGAACTAAAGTAGTTCATATGGTCCTCCACCATAGGATTAAGTTTAATTTCTGAATATTTGACCATACGATTGAAAGAAGATAACATGGCCTGTAAAATGGTCCGGTCCAACTTCCCACCAAAAGAATTTAAATTGTCCAACAATTGATAAGCCCACATTTTGACACACAACTTCATTTTATCCAAGTCTGGTAAAACACAGGATTAAAATGGAACTCTCAGTTGCATGAAGACTTCAGCAATCTCTAATCTCTTCTGAAATTTCCAAAATCCTTTCTAAGAACCTTGAATTGCCTTTGCATTCGACATCAATAGCATCATCTACTCTCTCATCGGACTATAATATTCAGCCCGATTGGCAGTTCGGCACTGCCTAAAGACACATGGAGTTTATTTACCAGCTCAAGAATACAGAGAAGCCACTTAAAACATCATTTTTAAACAGTTTAATTTACAATAACATGAGATGGATTCGATAAATATAAATCACCGATCTGCATATAGGATGCTTTAAACTTAGTTCTCTCAATGTCACTGAGTGTACAGCCCACTGTTGAGATGTGTCAAATTACCAAAATCTGGAAGTTTTCTCATGCCACTAACATACAGATAGGATTAATGTTCTGGATAGTTTAATAAGAGGGATTATGTTTTCCACCAAGAGTTCATAAAATTGATTTACTCAGACCAGCTTACACTTCAAAGTCACATTTAATTGCTCATGCAATATTGCATATGATTGGCTCTCAATCCTGGTCTGAAAAGCTACATGGAAACTACTACTTGTGTATCATCATGATGTGTAACCATCACTTTAGACCAAAATCATCAACATATTTCCACCAAAACTTAACTATTTACACTTTGCAGGATCAACACCATTATCTAATGATAAATGGATTGCAGGTCAAACTCCCTATTGAAGAGCTCTGATAAAAAAGAGACTTTATCGGTTAAGGGAGGAATAGGAAAAAACAAACCTTCCATGTCCGCAATCCTAAATCCCTCGACTCGAACATCCGTCTCTTCTTGTGAAATGGCTGTTTTTGCAGTCTCTACGTTCACGATATGTGGGTACTTATCATTTTTTAACAGATTGCGCCGCTGAAAATATAATTAAACAGTCAGAAAATCATTTTATATGAAAACATCTTTCCAAGTTTAAATGCTAAATGTTTACCTTTGGAAGCTCATTCCGACGTCGCAAAGATGATGTACTCCACCCAACAAGATCTGCACTTAGTTAAGTTCTTCAAGTATGGCAGAGATTTTAAAACAAATGAAAGTAATTAAACCTGCAGCAATGTTATTCTTCAATATCTGTAACTTAAACAGTTTCTTG